GTCAAACATATTAATGAACTATAATTTAAATTTTTATTTCGCTTTAATCAAACGTTATGTATTTTTCTCAATCTTGTTTTATCCGTCGTATCCACTTCGTATCATATATATGAGCTCTCTAGTTTAATAATATAATCCATATTTGAATTGGCAGATACTGAGCATGTATTTTCCTTAGTAAATCGTATTTGTTTTCAAAATTATATATACAATTAATTGCTATTTCAACTATAATTTAGATGTTTCTGATTTTTTTTTATGAGAGCATAGTGAGATTGCAAGAACATGATTGAGGAAGATATTCAAGACTTCATATATATCCATCACCTTTCCTTACCTCAATAAGTACTAGAAAAAGATCACAATAACCTATAGAACAGGCATAATCAATAAAAAGATTAGAATCTTATTGTGCATTTATAAAATTCAAAATAAAAAGATGCACTCAAGAAATTTGTTCGAAATGACCAGAAAAAACTTCGACTGTATACACCTAATAAGAGTATCAAATTTAAACCACCACTCTATCTCGCAAAAGCTGAAGAACACTTAAAGAATATTTCTCCTCTTTATAGAACTCTCTCTAAAATCCGAGAGCCCCCCAATCAACCATTATCTCTCTCTGTATCATGATGTATTTATAGACACATTGCATACGAGTTCAAATACGAATCACAAATCGAATCGAAATAGAATTCTTAATGCTCGACTAGACCGCGTAGATTATTGAAGCGAAAATTTTGATTTTAGAGAGGATTCTCAAAGATTACATACGTTCGTATGATTACATGTACATATCTTGCTATTATCAATTTTCATGCAGTACCATTTTCTGTGTATTTTAAGTCCTAAACATCCAATATAAAAAAATAACTAATAATACAATTGCTCCACCTCTGTCATGTGCATTGAATTGAAGCTGCTTTTGTTGGAAACTATAGAAACATTTTTTGCTGTCTCTATTAAAGGCAGCTTGGAACATTAAGGTTTGATACAAGGAGGCACCAAGAGCCATTAATTTTTAGCTCATTGATTATTACAGATACAGAAATCTACCTTAATTATACAAGATAATTAGGTTAGATCCTCCATGAATTTTCCAGGTTGGTAGATGTTGTTATAAATAGGGTAAATTTTTAGGCCTTAAATCCTTTTATGTATGTTATTATTTTACCTTATAAAGCAAGATATGAATCCTCGTTTTCATTTGTCATATAACACTAAGGTGTATGCGTATTTATCAAAAGATCACAAGTATAATTTCGATGCGGAGGACAGTTCTAGTGATAAACACCAAAGTGAAAAAAATGTAGGGTTTGGTAACCGGGTTGGGTCACGCGGATGCGGGTCAAATCCGGATTTGACCCGATCCGATCCGATTAAGCCGAACCCAGACCCGTATTTGACCTAATAACATGCTTAATAAACAGACCAGAAAAATTCTTTAAGGAACCAAAATATGGGACCAATAGGGGGGACAAGTGAGGTGTCCCTCTCCTATTGGATAATGAGTTGGCCATCATTAATGATGACCAACTCATTATCCAATAGAAGGGGGACACATCACTTGTCCTCTTTATTGGTCTCATATTTTGGATCCATGTTGCAAAGCTCAAACAGACCACGCTAGACTTGAGAATCGATATTCAGCCTGATTATTTATCGAGTTAGAGCGAGTTGACGTGGTATCACCAAATATTCATAAAAAAATCCGACCCCCAAGATTTCTTACCAAAACAACCCAGAACCCAATTCACTCCCCCTCATTAACCACCAAATCCTACAAAATATGGCGCCAACTCCTCCCTATAAATACCCACCTCCTTCCCTCCACAACCCCGTCACCAAACCGATGGCGAGAAAGAAGGTGAAGCTCGAGTACATCGCCAACGACGCGTCTCGCCGGGCGACGTTCAAGAAGAGGAGGAAGGGGTTGATCAAGAAGGTGAGCGAGCTCAGCACCCTCTGCGACGTGAAGGCCTGCCTGGTGGTCTACGGGCACGACGAGCCCGTGCCGGAGGTGTGGCCGTCGGGTGCGGACGCGGTGAGGGTGGTGGCGAGGCTGAAGAGGATGCCGGAGATGGAGCAGAGCAAGAAGATGATGGATCAGGAGGGGTTCATGAGGCAGAGGATTGCCAAGCTCCAAGAGCAGGTCAGCGCCTCCAACCTGAATCTGAACCGGACACCGCGAGGTGTCCGTGTCTTTATGTGTTTGTTTACAGAATGCTTGAAACTGAATCTCTATTATTGAGTTTACATTTACTACGAAAATAATCCATTGCTGAAGAATCCGTTCGTGAATCGACCTTTCCCCCTCCATTTCGCGACGAATGATAATCGAACTATCTGATATGTATTGCAGGTACGAAAACTCGAACGGGAGAACAGAGAAATGGAGATATCACTGTCGATGAACGAGAGGATGCTCGGTGGAGGAGGGGGGCTGGAGGCCATCGGGGTCGAGGAGGTCACTGGCCTAGCATGGCTGGTGGAAGTGAAGGTGGGAGAGGTAAGGCGAAGGATCGAGGCAATGTCGAAGGCGGCGAAAGCAGCGCCGGTGGCTACCAGTGGCAATCCTTGGATTATGGACTCTTTCTTCCCCTTGAATTAGAGTATTGTTGTTGTTTGTAAGGTGACTGCCTTTGTCTAGTTTTACTTGAATTGGGTGTTTTTTTTTTTTGCTGTTTTGTTTCTTCTCTTATTTGGGTCCCTGTAGTTTGTATTGGATGATAAAATATGAATGAAAAAATCATGAATTTTTACCTTGATCTCCATATCCTTCAAATTTCCTTTGATGTTATCCAAAATCAAGGGAAACACTTTTCTGTGATAAAACTAATTTCCAGGCTTCCCCTTCTGTTTTATCTTCGTTTGCTGAAAAGACTTTGGGGCAGCAGCTGAACGAAGATAAACCTCAACAACGGAAGAAAAGAATAAAGAATAGAACGAAATTAATGTGGAAATAGAATGCTTTTCCATCGTACCAATGGAATGAAGTTAAGAATAGAACGAAATTAATGTGGAAATAGAATGCTTTTTCACGTACTCATGTTTGGATGCAATTTAGAGAATGATGGGGAATGATCGTATTTCAAAATTCTGCATTTTTCTAATTCCTATCCAAATGAGAATTATCATTCTCTACCATCTCATGAAAAATGCTCATTCAAATGAGAATTAATGAAAAATAAGAATGAAAAATATTATACTTCCAAAAAAAAAAGGAGTGTTCAGTAGGATGCAATGAGAAGTGAAAATTAATATTTCATTCTCACTCATTCCTACCTATGTAGGAAACGAGGCACACGTGTACTCAATAGAAAAAAGCGGCTTAAGCGCACAAGAATACCCTATAAGTTTTTAAAACTGACACTTGAATGCCCTAAAGTGCAAGTTTAAAAACTTTAGGATGGTTAAGTGCAACTTTTAAAACCTTTGAGTATATAACTGACGCCAAAAACAACTAAGGGTATATAAAAGTAAGTTTTAAAAACTTTCCGAGTACATAAGTACTGCGAGAAACAAGTGACGGTAGATAAGTGCAGAGAAGGGCAAAATATAGGGTATTTAAGCCAAAAACAAAAGGCACACAGCTCATGCAGCTTGCTGTCACATTTACAGAAACACATACCATCCAAAATACAAGGGTGGAGATTGCTCATGACAACTCATACAAAGATTCAAGAGCTCCAGATGCTGATGGTACATTACCCTGTCTCCAGACCTGAACTTGAAACACATCTGAATGTACAAATAGCTAGAACTTCGTTCCTTGCTCTGGTTTTCTTCTGCTAGAAATGAAGAGCTATCTAAGTTCCTATACCCCATGACCACATGATAGGAGTAGAGGCATTCTGTGGTGGCTGCGGAACCATACAATGTTGCTGCCGTTGATGAAAACCTTCGATTGCAGTGTTGCCATCAGTTTGACGTCCAGTTTCCTCGACTTCCATCGATGCACCGCTGGTTCCTTCTTCTGCTTCCATTGTTTCCTCTATTTGTATCCCTCCTCCGGATTCTGAGATGATCAATGAAGAGGCATGGGATGGCGCCCAGGGAATAACGGCGAGCGAGTTGTTAGCAACAGCTTGTTTATCTTCAGGCATTTCCTCTGCTGTTACAGCACGCAAAGCTTGATCTGCACAAAGCCCCAGCACATCAGTTAACTATAGTGCCTATGTTTTTTTATATCAGAACAAAGATAAAGGAGACAGTAAGCAAGTGCCAGCTTTGAGAATTTAAAACCGCAATTACAGTTTTATTGAATACATAATTTGGGTAACAACAGTGTATACTTAGACAAACCATTTTA